GTGGCTCGAGGCGGCTCGTCCTCCCCTTCATCCCCAGAGCGTCGGGGCCGCCGTCTGCGTCGGCCATCATATCGACGCCACGGTTCCAGGGCAAGCCGTAGAATTTCCGTCGGCACATTGTGAGGCGGAGCAGCTCGGCGACGGGGAGACCTCGAGATCACCTCGATCAGCTTCTCGGAGTCCTCCCGCGCTGTCTCGAGGTGGTCGTGCGCGAACATCGGTGCCCTCGGCAGCGCCTCCAGGTAGGTCTGACGGTACTCTTCAAAATTGTTCGGGGCCGCGCCGAACCCGCCGCTGGCGCCGTCCTGCTGGAAGTGCCGCACGGTCTCAGCGCGCCGAGGGAGGAAGCAGGCTCCGACGTTGTAGCGTCGTCGCCTCGGCCCCTTGCACTGAGCCGCAAGCTGATGTCCCAGTCGCCACACCTCTGCGAAATGCCTTTTTTTTTCTGCCAGGCCTCATACATATCGTCAACGATCATCTGCACCTCGGTCTCGAGCCAAGCCTTGCGATGATGCCGTAGTCGGCGGGAGGCTCTTGCCAGCTCCATCTCCACGGTGCTGGGGTCGCCATGCTCTCGAAGGTCGCGTCGTTCAGCCAGTGCACGGAGACGCTCGCCCCTAAGCGCTTGCACTCGAGGGGGGACGGGGGCGCGTCCAGCGAAGTGACGCTCGGCAAAAGTCGACACTTGCGTCATCCAGCGCTCCCAGGCTTCGTCAGGAGCCTTGGCGTCGTACAGCTCGTGGAAGTAGTCGGGGTGGTTGCTGAAGGCCTCCTCCAGGTCACGCGCGAAGGCCGCCGCGCCCGTGCCGTGCTGCAGTGCCTGCCCCAGGCGATGGAAGTCCCACGTCTTCCTCGGCCGTGCCTGATGGGCCTGCAGTGTGTAGACGACCTTCATCAGAATGGGAACGTGGTCCTGTAGCCCAGGTCGCGGTCTGAGCTTGAGCCGTCTATTGGCACTCTTCAACGGCATCACCGTCGTCACCGAAGGCGTCTGCCACGCGAAGGCGGCAACGTGATCGATGAAGGAAGCCGACTTCGCCCCGTGGTACGTGGGACCCACCTCGTAGTCGCTGGTGACGACGCGGAGCGCAAAGCGCTCCATCAGTTCTAGCATCTTCTCCGAGGCGTAGTGCTGAACCTGATGTCCGTGCGGGCCCAGCGCATCCGAGGTGACCGTCCGATGCGCTTGATGGCGCTGATATCGTAGCCCCAGTCCGTCGTTGAGGTCGAATCCGAAGAAGAGGGCCGAGCGCCCGCGCGCCCATGCCAATGCTTTCTCTACCCACTCCACCATGGCGTCGACCGTGGCCCTGTACGCATAGTGCTGCTTATTCACCGTCGTGGTCTCTGTCGCCTGCCTCCGACTCGTTGGCCGCGGAGGGAAGGAGGCCATGGGCACAAGGATGTCGAACCTGCCGCTTCTGAGCCTGGTCAAGGATACACGCCCGCGCTGCTTCGGCGGCACGGAGGGAGTGTCCACCAAGTGCTGCGTCCGAAAAGTCCGACGCCTCAGTAGGATGGTGCACCCGCAGCTCTTGTTAGTATGGGGGCTGGGACTCCAGCCCGATCTCAAAGCAGTGTGGTACGGCAAGGTCGAACGTATGGTGTCCACTTCGCCACGCCTCTCACCCGTGCCTGTCAAACATACCACATCAACGTAGCGGAACCCAGCAGATATATCACAAAGTCGCTCCTCGGTGCTCGCGTTCTGAGCATTCCAATGGATATACTTCATCGCATCAAGCTCGAGCGCCGCCGAGAACGCCCAGAGAGCCCATCGCCAGCGCGGCAGCCGCATCGCCGCGGGCCGCCGCCCCACCGTGGGGAGGACACGCCATGCGGGCGCGAGGTATGAATGCGCATCCTTCAGCGCCTGCCGCCCCAGAATCGCCAGCCTCGGGCCGGGGGGGCTAGGAGGAGGAGGAGGAGGAGGAGGAGGAGGAGGAGGAGGAGGAGGAGGAGGAGGAGGAGGAGGAGGGAGGCAGAGGAGAAGGAGGAGGAGGAGGAGGACACGTTCGCCGCTCGTGATGGGCCCCGCCTGAGCACCCGGCGGACGGGGGCGTCCGGGGGGGCGGGGTCAGCGCCGGCGCCGCCTGCGGGGCCCACCGCCTCCTTCTCCGGGTCCTGGAGCCCGGAGGCGAGGCGCCAAAGACGGCCGACAGTGGGACGCATAGAGACATACTAATACGATATGCCCTCCTTGGAGGCGCGCATCCGACTCGAACATATTGTATACCCATCTTGTAGTGCATCGTTTCCCGAGCGGTGTGGCCAGGAAGCGCCCGCCACGACGTATATACCATAAGATTTCTCGGTGCGCGCGTCGCCCCTGGGGGGGGGCGACGCACACACAGTATTAGTATGTCGGAGCGACGCCGAGATAGCCCCGCTCCTCGATGGTCGATGCGGGATCCTCGCCGAAGCGCCAAAGGTGTGGGAGCGAGAGACAACGTCGGGGCCCACCAAAGGGGGAGGGACCCTGGGAGGGGGTGAATTCGATCCGCTGGTGCATCGAATTTCAGAAAAAACGATGCCCCCCGCGCACCCCGATTGTCGACGCCTCTTGGGTTCTGGCGGCGGCCAAAGACCTCGTTTTGCATAGTTTGTCTGCGGTTCGATGCGCCGAGGTCCCGACAACAGAAGCCCAAACTTTCGGAGGTCCGCGCTGCGTTCTCGACTCGGCGCCGCCCCCCCCCCCCCTCCCCCCTGGCGCGCGCAGCGTCCCAGGGGCGGCGCCCCCGGCGCCGACCCAAGAGATCTGCGGGGACCCCCGGAAGTTTATGCTCAAGCAGTTCTTCGGCGGCGGGCCGAAGGGGGAACTATGCGTGTCTCTTTTGACCATGCGTTGCGTGTCTCCTCTCCTCCTCCTCCTCCTCCTCCTCCTCCTCCTCCTCCTCCTCCTCGTCCTCCTCCTCGTCCTCCTCGTCCTCCTCGTCCTCCTCGTCCTCCTCGTCCTCCTCGTCCTCCTCGTCCTCCTCCTCCTCCTCCTCCTCCTCCTCCTCCTCCTCCTCCTCCTCCTCCTCCTCCCCTCGCCCCCACGCGGCCCCCTGGGACGGCCCGAAGAGGCCTTCCTAAGCCACCCCTTTTTTCCCAGAGATCTCTCGGTTCACCCTGGTTGCTCGCTTTGTTTCCCTAGATGTGTCTCTTCGTCTCTTTTTCCGTCAGCTCTCATGGGCAGGGCTTCTGAATGGGCTGGTGGGGATATTTGTTTGGTCAGCGGCCGTGGGCGAGCACGCCAGCGGCGAGTCAGGTCAAAGCGGGCTACGCAGAGACTAATTAGGCAGAGGTGGCGCGAAAGGGCCACAAATAACGCGGCAAACCGAGGCCTCACGCGGCGGCCCAGCAGCGGGCGGGTGGCAGGAGGAACTGAATCTGAGTCAAACTGCCACTGTGCAAAGGTGCAGGTACGTCGAAGGCACCAGGGAGTCGGTATAAACGACGACCAGGGACAACTCCGAAAATTAATGCATGCAACCGAACCTCGAGCAGCTGCGTGGGCACCAGGGTGGCCGCGGCCAAGGAACCGCCAGCTGGTGGGGATATATTTTTTTTGGTTGGCGGCCGCGCGACAACGGTCTGGCGGCGAGGGGCAAAGTCTGGGGCAGGCGGCACAATGCGAATTTGCGAACACAGCCGCCACGTTGGCAAGCCGGTTCACACCTGCGCAACAAGCGCGCACTTGCACATGCACAAAACAAAATGCTCTACATTCGCCAGCAAACGCACCTAGGCGCCGCACTGTAAACCAAAGTGAACAAGCGGCCGCGGGTGCAAGTGCAGCGGAGTGACTCGCCAGTGCGGCGCCAAGCTCCAAGCAGCCAGCCCGGCTGGCTAAGAAACAAGTACCCGGGAAACCGGGCTGCCTGCGGTGGAAAACAAGAGGCAAAGCGAGCGCGGAAGGCTGAACCACTCAGCGCACAGCCCTCAGAATCCTCCGCTCAGCTGGGGGGGGCCAACGGCACCAATCGCATCGAATCCGGCGCCTGCGTCGGATAGGCCCAGGGTGGACGCGACGATGCGCGAGACGTAGGCTGTACAGAAACTGCAACACTCAGAGCAATGCCCTCGGGCACACAACTCCCAGTGCCGGTGGAAGCCAGCGACTGCCCAAGCGCCACAGTGCCGTCCTGCCGCGAAGGCTGGTGGGGATACGCGAAGCGTGAAGAGTTTATGCTTAAACCGTGCTTCGGCGGCGGGCCGAGGGGGAAGGCGAAGGGGGGCGGGTCTTCTCAGAAGGCTCGGGAAGCCTCTGGCAGTCTGAGAATACTCTCGTAGCCTGGTTCCGAAGACAGCGACCAGGTGGGGGAGTGGGGGGCAGGGTCAGCAACGAGTGTCGTCCAGGAAAAAAACGATGGAAACTCGGGGGTGGTCGATGCATCCCTCCCCCCGAGCCTAGATTCCCCTGGCATTGCCTCTGAAGTCTTTCCTCCCCAAACATCCGACATCTCGACCTCTCACCCACTTCCCCGGGACTGGCTTGCCATCCTGAATCGTTCTTTGAAGGTCCCGAGGCCCGGAATGGGTCCCAGGAGGCCGAAAACTATGTTCGAAGACTCACTGACCCTGGTCAATCCAAACCCGGGTCGGTCAGGCCTTGCAGGATCCTGCAAGATCCTGCAGCATCCTGCGCCCAAGCCCAGGTCAGTGCGACCCTGGCTATGCAGGATCCTGCAAGGTTCGGCGCTCTGGCTGAGCCCCGTCTGCATTGACCCCCGTCTCTTGAGCCCCGGTGTATTTTGGAGGCCTGGAAATGGGCACCAACACCAACACAGGGGGTTGCCTCCTCAGGGGGAAGATTGTGTTAGATCTCGGTGTTGGTGGTAATTTTTCGGCCACCTTGGAAGCCAGAATTATTACCACAATCACCGAGATCGGGATCTTCTTCCCTCGGTTGAAGCACACCGCCGATCTGGTTGTTAGTGTCAACCTCCAGGCCTGCGAATATTATCTCCGTCTCGATGCTTCAGGACGTCTGACGCACGCCCCCAGCCGCGCGGAGCCTCGGCCTTCTGCAGCTCGTCGCGCTCCTCCGGCGAGATCTGCTCCGAGCCCGCGCCCCGGTCCTCGGGAGGCCGCCGCGGTCGTCGTCGTTCGTGTAGATCACACTTTCGAGAAAACATTGTTGCTGGAGACCTCCTCCTCCTCCTCCTCCTCATCCTCCTCGTCCTCCTCCTCCTCCTCTTCCTCCTCCTCCTATTCCCTCTTCCTGAGAACACATTATTGTTGGAGACCTGAGAATGGGCACCAACACCAACACAGGGGGCGGCCTCCACAGGGGGAGATGATCCTAGATTTCGGTGTTGGTGATCATATTTCGGTCACCTTGGAAGCCAGAATATTACCACCATCACCGAGATCGGGATTTTCTTCCCTCGGAGGAGGCACACCACCGATAATGGTGCTGGTGTCAACCTCTAGGCCTGCGATATTGATCCCCCCCACCGGTGCACAATGTGTTTTTTTCCGTTGAAGTGCCCCCCCTCGGGGCTCGCACCCTCTTGTTATCCGGGAAAGTCTTACTGCTTCAACTGTGCTGTTGGGCTCCGAACTACATTAACAACAACAACACCAACAACAACAACAACCCAAAAAACAACAAGCAACACGCAACAAGCGACCAACAACAATCACCTGACACTATAACAACACATAACAAGCAACAAACACCTCACAACACGCAACAAGCAGCAGACACCAATCAACAACAACAGCAGCAACAACTACACTACCATCACCACCACCACAAGCAGCAACAACAACAACCATACCAACAATAACGACAACAACAACAACAACATCTGCATCAACAACAACACTACTAACAACATCGGCAACACAGATAACATCAGCAACAACACCAACAACAACCACTATAAGACTGTTCGGTCTTATCTGCTCGCGTGCCTTTCAACACATATATCCCAAACCATTGATACCCACCCTCTTCGTCTTCAATCGTATCCCCTTGGGGTATATCTGTTGTATCTGCAACAAGTATTTCGCGCAGCACCGAAGGCAGGGGAAAAGAGGACGGATGGAAGGAAGGGACAAGGGTGAGAGAGGAGGATGGAGTACGACAGAGAGTAGCAGGAGGGGGGGCTGGGGCAGAAAACACTTCGCAGAACCAGACGGGCAGATCGGGCGGGTAGACCCTAACAGGGCCCAGGCGGCAAGGTGGAGCAGGCGGGTTGCTGAAGCGTGCGTCATGCATGAATGGCCGACGCGATTCCAAAATAAATCTCGTGAAATCCAGAGCGAGAGCGTGATTCCTGAGTGTCGAGGGCACGGCGCCTGAATCAATTGGGAGGAAGTCCGAAGAGACAGCGCGATTCCTGAGTGTCGAAAGCGCGATGCCTGAATACATTGAAAGGAAATATCAGGCGAGGAAACGACTTTCTATAAATTGCAAGGATTCCGCTGGCGTGAGCGCGAATCTTTAACAAGATATTGCAAGGAAATATCATGCGGGGCCACAGCCAGGGGCACCGCTTGAGCAGGAACACTTTCCTTTGTAAAAACACAGCGAGCCCTGGGAGGGGCACTTCAATTGAAAAACACGCATGTTACGCAAATGCGTGACTCTTGCATGATTCGCCAGGAAATCTCGGGCAAGAGCACGGTTCCTAAGTAAATTATGAGGAAGCCCCAGGCGAGAGCGCGATTCCTGCATGGCGAGGGCATGGCGTCTGAAGAACCTGCGAGGAAGTCACAGGCGAGAGCGCGATTCTTGGATACAATGCAAGGAAGTCCGTAGCGAGAGCGCGATTCGTCAGTTCATTGCGAGGTAGTATCAGGCGGGAACAATTGTTGTTGTAGTCCGGGGGCCAGGGGCGCAATTTAAGCAGGAGCATTTCCCTGTGAAAAAAACAAGGTGCGAGCCCTGGAAGGGGAACTTCAATTGAAAAGCACAGATGTGACCGGAGCGGGGATCATCAATAATTATTCTTCAGAGGTGGGAATTCAACAACAACAACAACAACAATTACTAGCACGTGGGGACACTCCGTTCTCACCAGTGCCAGGGTTTTCATAGGAGGCGGGCAATACCCCCACTTTGTGGGGGGGCCGGTTGAAGCTCTACCAAATTTCCAAACGACTCTTCGCCACCACCCACACCCAGCTTCCCGCCCTATGACGTTCGGACACTTCACTTCGTGGCATGCGGACGACCGTGGCTACTATTCAGGGCCCCGCGGCCGACGACGACGGCGTGCGCGCGCGAAGAAAAAACGAATGTGTCCCGCATGGTATTATTTGACAGGGATGATGGCCCTGGCAGGTGCGCAACCGTTGTTGCAGAAGTTCGAAAAAGTTGCTCGCAAAAGCCCGTTTGACAGAAATGTTTAAAAAGTGTTGGGTTTCCTACGAATCCGCAAGAGCGCGCGGGATGAGATTTTGACAATTTTTTGTTGAAAAACCATTGGTTTTTTGATGTTTTTATGTTAAAATCGCTGCGAACACTAAGGTTTTGGAAGGATTTCGTCTTGCGCGCGCGAATGTCCACTTTACCTTATTTTTTGCAAGGGATTCTTGAAATTTGATTATATTAGAACAAGAAATGTCATTTTCTATTGTTTTTTGCAAGGGAAAGCGGATTACAACAAAACAACCGGATCCTGTACACACCCTCTTTTCTGAGGCTTCCTCACGAAAATGATGAAAATGTAGCTGCGGCCTAGGCGGCGCAGGGGGGGCGCGCACCAGGGGGCCCAACAATAATTATTCTTTAGAATAAATAATGTTCAACAACAACAACGATCAGGTTAAGACTTTTCACTGGCACGAGTGTTTTGCATTCTGTGCACCCCAACCCTCGATACCCGCCCAGTTCGTTTTCGATCGCACCCACTTTCGGGGGGAATATCTTCCTGGCGGGAACCAAACGAGACGGAGAAGCGTCGAGCGAGAACCGTTGTCGCCGCGTCTGGGCCTCCACCAACTTGCCTGAAGTACGAGAAATTCTCGAGCGAGAGCGCCACTCTTGAGTTCGGGGGCCTCTGGCAAGGGCCTCTGCGAATACATCTTGAGGACATGTCGAACGAGAGCCCTTGTCGTCGTAATCTGGACTCCACCAATTTAATTGAATCGCGAAAAAAGTCGAACGAGAGCGTCGTTCCTGAGTTGGGAGGCCTTCCTGGCCAGGGGCTCTCGGAGTAAATCGTGAGGAAGTATCGAGCAGAAGCCCTTGTCGTCTTGGCTGGGCCCCGGCCAACTTGACTGAATTACGAGAAAGTCTCGAGCGAGAGCGCCGTTCCTGAGCTCGGGGACCTATCTGGCCATGGTGTCTCGGGGTAAATTGTGAGGGTGTGTCGAGCGGGAGCCGTTGTCGTCGTAGCCAGGCCTCCAAGAACCCACTTTTCCATTCAAGCCAACTCTCGAACGAGAGACTCATTTTCAGAGAAAATATAGCCGGCATCGAGGCGAGAGCGCGCGGAACCGTTTCCGGATATCAACAGTAATTATTCTTCAGAAATGAATATTCATCGATCAGCTTAAGACTGTTCGCTCTTACTGGCACGCGTGTTTTGCATTGGATTCTGTGTACCCCAACCCTCGATACCCGCCCACGTCGTTTTCGATCGCACCCCCTTTCGGGGCGAATATCTTCCTTGTCGCCCACTGACTGAAGCACGATGAACTCTCGAGCGAGAGCGCCCTTCCTCAGTTCGGAAGCCTCTCTGGCCATGGTGTCTCGGGGTAAATTGTGAGGGTGTATCCTGCGGTAGCCGTTGTCGTCGTAGCCAGGCCTTCAAGAACCCACTTTTACATTCAAGCCAACGCTCGAGCGAGGGCCTCGTTTTCAGAGAAAATATAGCCGGCGTCGAGGCGAGAGCGCGCGGAACCGTTTCCAGGTATCAGCAGTAATTATTTCCCAGAAGTCAATATTCAACGATCAGTTTGAGACTGTTTGCTCTTACTGGCACGCGTGTCTTGCATTCTGTAACCCTCGATACCCGCCCACTTCGTTTTCGATCGTACATCCTCTTTGGGGGGGAATATCTTCCTTGTCGCCCACTGACTGAAGTGCGATGAACTCTCGAGTGAGAGCGCCGTTCCTCATGTCGGGGGCCTCGCTGGCCAGGGGCTCTCGGAACACCTATGGGGAAGCATCGAACGGGAACCCTTGTCGCCGTGTCCTGTCCCCCACCAACTTGCCTTCATTACGAGGAATTCTCGAGCGCGAGCGCCACTCTTGAGTTCGGGGGCCTCTCTGGCCAGGGGCTCTCGGAACACCGATTGGGGAAGCATCGAGCGGGAACCGCTGTCGCCGTATCTGGGCCTCCACCAACTTGCCTGAATTACGAGAAATTCTCGAGCGCGACGCCACTCTCGAGTTTGGGGGCCTCTGCGAAAACATGTCGAGGAAGTATCGAACGAGAGGCCTGGTCGTCGCAGTTGGGCCTCCACTGATTTGATTGAACCACGAGAGAGTCTCAAGCGAAAACGCCGTTCCTGAAATCGGGGGCCTTCCTGGCCACGGGCTCTCGGAGTAACTCGTGAGGGAATCTCCAAAAGGACCCCTTGTCGTCGTGGTAGGGCCCCAGCCAACTTGTCATTTACCTCGCGCGGGATCCTCGTTTCCAAAGAACATGTAACCGGCGTCGAGGCGAGAGCGCGCAGAACCTTTTCCGGAGATCAACAATAATTATTCTCTAGGAATCACTATTCAACGGTTTCCGCCTGATTCTCCATCACAATATATTTCCAAATCGTGCTCTCGCGCGGAACTTCCTCACAATGTATGCAGGAATCGCGCTCTCGCGTGGGACTCCCTCGCAATTTATTCACACGCCGCGCCCTCAACACTCCAGAATCACGCTCTCGCTTTGTCCTCTCTCACGATTTACTTGGGAATCGCGCTATCGCTCGAGATTTCCTTGTGATTCATGCAAGATTCACGCTGAAGCATCCCGCCTGCTCGACCTGGCCGCCTGGGGCCGCCTCCCCGACACGCCCGCTAGGGTGCCCGCCCGATCCGGCCGTCTGGTTCTGCCACGCGTTTTCTGACCCCGTCCTGGAAATATTTCTCTCGCGCTCCATCCGTTCCCCATCCCCCTTCCATCTGTCCGCTCTTCCACTGCTTAAGGGCTGCGCTACATGCACGTGGCAGACAAGGATGATAGGATGGTATATCCCAAAGAGGGTACGATCGAAGACGAAGAGGGCGGGTGCCAAGGGTTTGAGATATGCGTGTCGAATGGCACGCGAGCGAATTGGAGCGAAGAGTCCTAGAATGATTGTTGTTGTTGTTGTTGTCGTCGTCGTCGTCGTCGCCGCCGCCGCCGCCGCCGTGGTCGCGGTCGCGACCGTGGCCGGCCGCACACGACGTCTGGGGTCTGGGGAGGGTGCCCATTCTGACCGATGCCCACATGAGCGACGCAGCAAAACTGGCTCGGCTGCGCCGACATTGAGCTTTCGAGGCAGAACCGACCCATGCCCACTGCGGCCAGTCCACGCCGCGCCCGCGGGAGGGCGTCGGGGACGGACGGCCACGGTCCGGCGGGGGCGGCCAGCAGCAGGAGAGGGACGGCCAGGAGAGCCCTGCCGTGCTGCAAAGGTCGGGGAGACGCAAGGCTCGCATTCGCCAGATCTCGAATTCGCCGACGCATTTTGGCGGGCCGGTCCTCGTCCTTTGACGGTGCAGTTTTCTTCGTGGCATGTTTGCAGTGGGAGCTCGCGCCAAATTTCTCGGTGGCGAGCGAAGGAGGGAACTGAAAGTGAGAAGGAGAAGGCCTTCTCAGAAGGCTCGGAAGTCCCCCGGCCTTCTCAGAAGATTTCTAAGCCTTCCCCAAAGACACGGGAAACTTCTCAGAAGGCTGGAGGCCTTTGAAAAGCCCCGCCGCCCTTCTGAGAAAGCATTCTCCTTCTGGCCCCCCCTCCCATCGCTCGCGCCAAAATAAGGACCGACCTCGCCATGTTCCTAACGGCGCCGTCGGGCCTCCAGCAGGAATCGACCTAAACAATGTTCCTCGATTTCGTGATCTTTTCGCCTTCCCTCGTTTTGTCTTCAATCCACCTTTGCTGCACAACGAACTCGAAACGAAAACGGCCCACGAAATCGCCAAAGCACCGTTTCGGTCGACCACTGGCAGCGAGAAAAAGCGCTCTGCTCGAGGAGCCAGGGGCACGACCGGCTTCAATCAAGAGCGCATGTGTGTATATACGTCCGAGCGATGCCAAGGTTATGGGGGGGAGGGGGGGGATCTGAGAGGGGGCATAACGTAGCGCCTCCACAACCAAACTGTGGTGCCAGACGCACTGCGGCAGTGCCAGGGACCTGACTTCGGATCCGCCTCACCTTGGGCGCCTGCGTAAGCAGGGCGGAATGTCCGCCCAGCGTTTCGAGCAGGGCGACTTCGTAAGCAGGGCTATTTCGCAAGCAGGGCTAAACAAGCGCGCTCCACTGATCGCAAAGTAACTACCCGCAACTGGCCCGGATCCGCGGCGGGGGATGTACGACGCATTACGTCGCGTAAGACATGCGGTTTTCGGACGGTTGCGAGTAGGCACTCTGCGAGTAGTGATAGGCGCTCGGACTTTGGGCGACTTCGTAAGCAGGGCGGAATGTCCGCACTGCGTTTCAAGCCCCCTGTGGTATCGACTTCCGCCCGACTTTGCCGTCGCCGTTTCCGCCATGCCTTTGCGGAATGATCCGCCTACTTTTCGGAGATGCATTTTCCATGCATCACAGATGCATTGGCGTTGCACCGGCGACATCGGCGATGCATCGGCAATGCTGGCGTGGAGAAAATCGGCCTCTACATCGAGCCGCATCGCCGATGCATCGGCAATGCGGCGCGATCCTCCGACCCCACCTGCTCGGACACCACCTGTGAGGCCCAGAGGGGGACTTGCAGCAAGGGCTCCGCTCGAAGGGCCTGGGCACAACCAGCTTCCAAGCGGACTTAGCGAGGAGACCGGCAACCCTTGACACAACAGGCGAAGAGAATGAGCGAAGGGGCCCTGGGACACACAAATAAATACACACAAATAACAGGATTCCCCATATCTTCGTATATTTTCTGGGTTTGTGTCTTCCGCCCCATTCCCTATAGTTTCACATATTTTCTGGGGAATCGACGGTTAATTGTGTCTGTGTGTTTGTTCCCTCCTGAGAAAAAGGGAGACTGGCTCAGGCTGGAAAGCACCGCCTTGGAGTCGGAGATGCATCGCCGATAGATCGGCGGCAGGCCGCAGAGAGCGAATGCGCACGCTGCTGGGCGGGGCGGACTATCGAGCCCCTGTCCGCGATCAATTGAACGACGACATGACACGGGTCCTACTCGAGATGGTGTAGCGTTATGTTGTTCCCATCGTACTTAAGGACCACATCCCAGAAATAATTTCGAGCACCCAGACAAGTGTCGAAAGAGTGTCGAAACAGTGTCAAAACAGTGTCGGGCGAGTGTCTCCCAGGGCCCGATTGTGAAAACCCTCGAGTTTCGGTACTTTGTTTGCTGGTGCTCGAAATTCTTTCTGGCGATCAAGGCTAAAGTAGGTTGGAACATCAGAAGTGTAGCGTCCTTACGCCGCAGCTTACGCGGACCGCCAGCGCGGCACGCCACACTGGAAACAAAGGCGCTCACGCGCGACCTTGCGCGGGCAGCTTGCGCGCGAATGTCGGCGAAGACGAGAAGACGATCACGTTTTTCGGCGTCGCTCAATTTTCAGTGGGCGACTCGGGGTCGATGCATCCCGACCTGCGGGGATGTCTTGCACATGCCAGAAATTGTCGGAACACCGAATCCAGCCCCGTACTGGCCGTGGTCGATGCAGCGTCCCGGGACGGCCACGTCGACCACGACCACAGCCAGCGCGCTCCTCGTGCCGAGGTCGGCGGGGTTTGCCCCTCGTATTGTGTCGACACCGGCTTTGGTTTCTGACACCGCGGGAATCGCTCAACCTGGAACGATCAGCCCGTCCCCGCAACGTCAGCTCGTTCAGCATCGACCGATTCTGGTCGCCGGCGGCGCTCAACCTTGAACGCTGGCGGCGGGGTCGCCACCGGTCGACACGACGCGAACTTGCCTCCACGGGCGCCGCGTGGGGGTGCGCCCCCGCTCGGGGAAGGGGGGGGGGGCCAGAGGCCCGTTGGGCGTTGCTTCGTCCGGCGGCGCACACGAGGGGGTTGTGGGGGGCGAGGGGAGGGCCTCTTGGGAGGAGGCTGCTTCGCAGAAGGTGCTGGCTGGATATCTGCAGACGAGGCAGAGAGGCAGGGCGCTTCTGAGGAGTCTTCTCCCCTCTTCCATACGCCCCTCTGCGCGTCGCTGGTTCACGGCGGGGGGATGACAGTGGGGGCGGGGGGGGGGAAGACGTGCACCCCGATTGCGCAACGCCCGAGCCCTGGCCAGGTGGCCGGGCGCTCAACTCAGAGGGATCATAAACAACGCGTAAACAAAAATTTGCGGATCTCCACGCGGATCGCTGAGATCGGAGCCAGAAGACTCTCCCTGGCGCGCCGATCCAAGGGATGGGCGCGGGGCGAAAAGGCCCTCGCGGTCTCGACCTGCCGCCACCCCGCTCGAGCGCTGCCCGGCACGCGCGCGCGGTCCCTCGACTGCCGCAGCGTCTGCTGGCCCAGGTGACGACCTGCAGTCCGAGACGGGCCGCCATACGAGCAGCGGCCGAGACTGGGGATGCACCAATCAGGAGGCAACTCCTGGGAGGTCTTCGCAAGAACGACTAGAGGCGATCAGACCCAATGAAGGGGCCGTTGAGCTAAATCAGGACGGATGAATCATGACATTCAACCGAATTGAACGAGATCAAGCCGAATTGAGCGGAACGATGCCCGATCAGGATTTGCATCCCGACACCAAGTGGCTGAGCTCTCCTTGTTGGCGGAGTCCAGGGTAGAGATAGTGAACAACTCGAGCGCCTCCTTCACGTGGGACTCCGTCACGTCCTGCGCAACGGCCAATCCCCAGCGTCGCCGTCATCGCAGCCGCCGACGACGTGCTCGTCCTCTTCCTTTTTACGTCGAGCGGACATGAATCCTAGGGATTGCAGCGTCTATAAACAAACATCGCCTGAATGACTCCTCGTATCTCCCTAACTAACAAGACAGGGCACAGAGGCAGGCCTGACGTAGCAGTAAACACATATAAGGACGATACAATGACTCGTCCTCTTCCTCCTTCTCGTCCTCCCGTGGAGCCACTGGGAGGGACCACGAGACTCGCCCCTCAAGTTAACCCTCACGACGAGAGCAACCATCTGTCACGATCGAAAAGCTCTGGCACCTCTCTCTGAAAAGCCCTACGTAGAGCGAGCAGGCCTGCTCCCCCTCACTTCCCCCCTCAGCGAGCCGCCGACTTCTTGGAGGTTTTCGTCGGCACAATCAGAAGAGGAGAAGCTCCGCCGCCCCTGGCGCGCGGAGCGCGCCAGGGAGGGGGGTCCAACGTCGATTAGAGAGATCTAGGCGGACCTCCAAAAGTTTATGTTTAGGCAATTTCATCAGATCCTAAATATGCCGTTCTTGCTATTTGTGTCATACCTCCGTCTGCCCGTTCCCTGCTTGATTCCTTCCTTCCCACCTCCCTCCTCAGACTCATACGCACAGACCACTCCCACTCCCACTGTGACACTCAAATTCACTCACACGCGGACCCACTCACACACTCATATCCACTCATACTCAGCAGCCCAATCATTCTCAGGCTCATTAACACAGACCATTCACTCTCACTTTCATCCACTCTCGGACCCACTCGCGCTCAGACTCACTCACACTCAGATTCGATCACACTCAGACTCACTCACTGGCACTCAGACTCACCACGCACACTCAAACTCGCTTGACCATGACCACCACGATGCTGCAAACTTGACACTGGGGCACCCAAAGGAGGAGCCAGCAGGGGTGTACCACGGGCCCTTTCGCGCCCAACTTGTCAGAACGTCTCCAACGGTTCGTTTGATGTTGGGAGGGTGTACGTGTCTCCTTCCAGAGTTCCATGCTCATCGCAATGTTGCAGGCCTGGAACTTGGGCGCCCAAGATGGAACTGCTGAGGGGTACCTCACTGGCCCGTTCATGCCCAGATTGTGCGGATGCATCGAGCGGCTCGCTTGGTAAGGGGGGTCTGAAGGGTCTATTTGCAGGGCCACCTGATCATCGCCATGTTTCAGGCACTGCACTTTGCCACCCCGAGGAGGAGCCTCAGGAGGTACATCACCAGCCTGGTCGCGCCGAGATTGCCAGATATCTCGAGCGGTTCGTTTGAAGAATTCCATGACCATCGCGGTGTAGCGGTCATGACTTCTGGCCATCTCTCAAGAGGGGAGTGCAACAGGCCGGGTGGCGCCCAGATTGCAGCAAATTCTCCGGCGGCTCGCTTGCTTTGGGTGGTGCTCGTGTCCCTTGTCAGGGGTCATAAGAACAATTGCGATGTAGCAGGCAACGCACCTGGGCACCCCCAGGGGCGAGTTGCCAGGGGGTGCGTCATCACGGGCCGGTTCGTTCCCAGATTGCAGGAATATCCAAAGTGGCTCGCTGGCTTCACTTGGGGTGACGTGCTTCATTTCGATGATCATCGCGATGTAGCAGGCATTGCGTCAGGGGCGCCCGAAGGTGGACCGACGGGGGTGTGTCACGGGGCCGCTCGCGCCCAGAATGTGGGGATGTATTAAAAAGGATGACTTTTGTGTGGGGGGGGGCGAGGTGTTTCCTGTGAGGACCACGTCACGTCATCATCGCCGCGATATACCAGGCATTATATTTTGGGATCCTAAGGGGGGAACCAGCAGTTGGTGTATCACGGGCCCGTTCGCGCACAGATAGTGGAGATAGCTCGAGTGAGTCGCTTGTTTGGGGAGATCCGCGTGTCTCTTTTGATGGTCGCATGATCTTCGCCATGCAGCAGGCGTGGCGCCAAGGGGCTCTAAAGGGGGAGCCGCATCGTCGTGCCTGCCGCCCTCTGGCCTCCCCCCTCCCGTGCTGGCGCTGGGCGACGCCTGCCTGGTGTGCTGTGGGCAGTGACCCGGGCTTGCACGCAGCGAGTGGCCCCCTGGGGCAGGAGCGGACCCTCTGGACGGAAGTGGCCCTGCCCCTACCACTCCCCCTCCCCCTGGTTACGGCTCATGGTTCCCAGTGGCATGAAGATCCAGCGGATGTTGCCCTCCCCTCACCCTCCTCCTGGTCCTCCTCCTCCTCCTCCTCCTTTTCCTCCTCCTCCTGCTCCTGCTCCTCCTCCTCCTCCTCCACCACCTCCTCCTCCCCCTCCCTCTCCTCCTCCTCCTCCTCCTCCTCCTCCTCCTCTTCCTCCTTCTTCGCCTCCCCTCATGCTCCGTGCATCTGCTGCCGCAGCTGCTGCTGCCGCTGCTGCTGCTGCTGCCGCCGCTGCTGCTGCTGCTGCTCCTCCTGCTGCTGATGCTGCTGCTCCTGCTCCTGCTCCTCCTCCTCCTCCTCCTCCACTTCCTCTTCCTCCTCCTCCTCCTCCTCCTCCTCCTCCTCCTCCTCCTCCTCCTCCTCCTCCCTCGCCAGTCGCGGGGAGGGCGCCCCCACTGGCTCTCTGGGGGCCGCCCAGAGGGGGACCGTCCACGGTCCAGTGCGCCCCGGGCCAGCCTCGTCTTGAGGCAGGCCCTGGGATGCGACGCGGGCCGAAGGCTGCCCGCGCCCTCTGTGGGGGGGAGCAGGAGGAGGGGAGCAGCAGGGGCGGCCGGGAGGGGAAGGGGAAAGGGCCGGGGGGCGGGGGCCGTCGCGGTGGGCGGGCGGGCAGCCAAGGTGGCCGCGGAAGCCGTGGTCGTGGTGGTCGAGCCGGTAGTGGTCGAGCTGCCGGTCGTCGTGGTGGTCGTGGTGGCCGTGGTGGTCGTAGTGGTTGTGGTTTTAATGCTGACGGCCGGCCTGGTGGTGGCCGTGATGCTCGCGGTGATCGTGGTGGTCATTGGTGGTCGTGGTGGTCGTGGTGGTCGCGGCCGTGGCGGTCCGGGCGGCCCAGCTGGTGGTGGTCGCGGTGGTCGTGGTGGTCGTGGTGGTCGTGGTGGCCGTGGCGGTCGTAGTGCTGGTGGGTCATTGAGCACGCACTGAGAATCATCTCGGCGTTGCCCACAACCAACGTGCGCTGGATGCGGCGCCGCGCGGTGGCGATGACCGCTGACCGCTCTGCGTCAGGCAAATCTTTTCTGCACGAGCGGACAAATGAGACGAGCTCATCCGCCGGCCGCCCCCCCGTCTCCAGGACAGCTGGGACCAGCTCGCCGCCCGAGGGGGGGCAGCGGTTCCGTTTGACCCCCACCGCCTGCGACGCGGCCAGCCCGTCATTGTTGGATCTTGCCCACCTGCGCTCGAGGTTGTCAGAGCGTGCGCAGGTGACAGACCAGTCAACATAGATCGGCTGTCCAGCGGTCGCGTCGCGGGTAGCCACGTCGAGGCGGGCTTCTTCCAGCTCCCCGGTGACTGGGTCCACGCGGTTCCACGCAGGGACACGCTTCTCGGCGACCGCCATGTGGCCCGTCTGCGCCTGGTGGAAGGGCGCGCTCCAGCCTCGGAGGCTGTTGCGGCGGTGGTCGCGAGAGCCTCCGCAGCCGCATGTCAAGGGGCGCCAGCCCTTGGGGTCCAGGGGCGCACCACATATCGTGCCGTCTCGCTTGCGGTGCTGGCAGGCCGCCCCTGGTGCGCAGACGTCAGCTCGGAGGCGCTGGCACAGGCCCACGTGGAAGTGGGCGTCAGGGATCGGCGCGTCCCCTTCCTGGCGCGGGAGAAGCCAACTCCCCGCCGAGGTCTCGCTGCTCTCGCGGAGGGCGAGCCGGTCGTCTTCGCCAAAGGTTTGCAGCAACTGTCTCCGCCTGTGCTCGGAAGCGCGCTTGGCCCAGTAGCCCTGCAGCTTGGCTCGTGGCTCTACCAAGTAGTTCCCCCAGCTAATGGGGCCCCCCTTCGCCCCTTGGGCGTCCAGCTCGGTTTCTGCGCTCCTCACGCCCCGGGCAATGCGCGGGCACCTGGGCCGAAAGCCTTCGAGGGGGGTGACCCCGAGGCAAGCGGCAACGCCGGGGAGGACGAGAGCCCAGCTGCCCAGGTACGCGCGCGCAGCCGTGTCCCGTGCTGACGGGAAGGCGCAGCCCCCGTCGGACAATCCCAATCTTCTAATTCTCATTCGACTACATAATCAAATTACACAAACATCAAACATTTCTTCCCCACAGGCGTCGATGTTCTATTTGCAGCAGAATAATAACAACAATATAACATTGCCCTCGCGTTCACGCGGCGCAAGGAAGCAGTGCCCACAGAGGCATGCAATTGGTGGCCCTTTGGTTCCTGCACAGTCGTCACACTGAGTTGCCCACTAAAATTACACCACATATATTGCAGTTTCTACAAACACATAGATCGCACCACGGAGCGCGGCTTACACACTTCATTGCTATTGCAACGACGCTCGCGACGAATGCCTAACACCATATATTTACGTTGCGTAGCTGACGTTGTTCCCGCATGCCGCGAAACCCCCTGGCCCAGCCAAACAAGTTCAATCTGCCCCTGGACCCAGGAGTTCTCTAAGTTTGTTGATGTTTTATTCGGATGCAAGGTCTGGAGGGAAACGGGGTTCAGAATAGAGCCCGCGTTGCCGTGTCTGCGCGACGGGGGGGGGAGGGGGACAGATGGCGGGAGGGAGGGGGCTCTTGGTGGGCCATCGGTGTCCTGGGGCCCTCGCAAGTCAAACGGCACGCAACTGCGGGACTCTATGGACAATTGACACTGCGCTGTTGAACGCCGACGGAACCAACATGTTACAAGGGGCGGTACGTGACAACCAAATCACCGAAAGTCTACTACCACGCATAGACCGCACAACAATCGATACAACACCACCTCGCGTACGCAGCGCGGGCGTTTCAACACGGGTTGCGCGCGTCATCTTTGACAAACGCCACTGCGCAAGTCTATAGCCCGACGTGCGCGAACCTCGGTGAATC